TTCCAATACTGCAGGGTCCCGCCGCCCTCTTCGGAGGATCCAGTCCCCCAGTCACACCAGTGCAAGTTTTTTACTAAGAAATCTGGATGCAGTTGCGACCAAATTGGTCTTACTCTAGAGCCCTGCTAGCTGTTTTTACAATCTCAAGTACGCAAGGTAGCTGTGGTGTGCCTTTTTCTTTTTACTTGATTGCGCAACTGCACTCCACTTATGTGCATCTCTGTCTATATGTATCAACTGAATAAATTCATGCAACTATGATTTGGGATATAAGAAAAAATAGTGACAAATAAATTAGAGAAAAATGGGTTGATTCTAAGGCAATCACACATTTAACCTTTCCACATGCACAAACTGAACCACCCCCCCCATTCACCCCAGCCCCCACCCAAAAAAAAAAAACAGCAGTGGAATGTAAATGTAGAACAATTAAAGTACATACCAGCAACACTTTCTGGAGAACGAACCACTTGTGATTCATCATCAGAAGAAACATGGTCATCTTCACTCCCATCTTCATCTTTATCAGAGAAATCTAAACAAAAATAGGTTCCATTTTATTTGTGTTGGAAAAGATATATCAGTACTTAGGGTGGAAAAACACTATTAAAATATATATCCAGAAATATTCCAAAAAATAAAACTATTATTTTCAGTGCCTAATTTACAATGCATGTGTTCAGTAACAGAAGACTCATACTGTATCCTGAACTACTGTATGTCCACTGAATGTCTGCTCTTTGTTAACAATTATTTAGTTTTTTTTTTATTGTAGGCACTTAAAGAAGTGCAGCGAATAATGCGGTGATGCTGAGCAAAGCAGACATCATCAGTTAATCGAACAGAACCAGTTTTGAGTAAACTATTTTTTGACAATTACTCATAAGTCGATTTGTTGTTTACATCCTTATTCCTGGCTAACACACCCCTTAGTTCAGATTTTGTTTATTTTAGTAAACCAGCTACTGAGATTAACCTCATTCCTTGTCACACCAGAGCAGGTGGCAGCTTGAAGGCTTGCCTCCGCAGTTATGGGAAGCCTTGAGCAAAGATCCACATCAAATATGCTGGACATGCCTTGGGCTGGAACTTGCTCAACTGGCAATTAAGCACTTAGATCTTGCCTAGATTGTTCTTACTTCACCATCAAGAGCCTACAAAGCCTACTAGCAGGCCAAACTAGCCTCTCTGACAGGCAGTATGTCAACAAGCAGACTGTGGTCCTGCATCAAGACTAAGAGTGGGAGGAAAATGTAGAAACCAGAAATGGCTGAAGTTGAGCTCCCAGCTGGACATAGCAACAGCACCCATGCCCATTGAGGACGTCCCCACACTGAACTACAAAGATGAGAATGACTAGGTAATCTCAGCTAAGTAATCTTTATGTATGAGGGGACAATATGAGGCTCATGATAAAATCATCTCAAATGCTCATCCTACAAACCCTGGCACTTTGTTGGTCTCCCTGGGGAACGAGGGAGTAACTGTTGTTGCTGTGTGTATGGACATGCAGACTATGTGCAAATGCTCTGCAAACACATCAGCGTGTTTATGTGAAAAGGTGAATGACTGTAGTGTATAGCACTTTTGGGTCCTAACGGACTTGATAAAGTGCTATACAAGTTTAGTCTATTTACCATTTACATGGATGAGCATCACTTTTGCCACCCCAACTTAAGCTCTGACCAACCACAGTAAAGCAGCATAACATAGCATCTATCTATAGCATAACATATCTGTCTATCTGACAGGGTTCGACAAATCCTATTGCCCGATTGCCTGGGGCAGGTAAAACCCCTAGTCGGGCAGGTGGGTGTGTCTCTATGCCTGCCCGACTGGGCAGATAAACCATTTCTTTAGTTTATTAATAGGGCAATTTATTCAAAATATTCAGAAAATGAAGAAATATATAGTGTTTTAAAAAACGTATAGAGAGAATAAATTTCCCCTCTCATTGTACACAAGTTACGTCGTGCACAATTGATAGTTAAGTGTGTCGCAGGATCATATGTCTCCCTCCGCTGCACGTCGTACCGAGCGAAGCATTAACAAACGTAGTTTTAACACCCAAGTTGTCGGAGGAAAAACTTTTATTTATCGTTACCCCCAGAGATGGAAAATATGTGGACGCTTGTTCAATCATGAATCCACCTTGCTAAAGTCAGTTTCTGCTCTGAGAGCGCAGCAGCAGCGGTTGAGTTCAACACGCGAAAGCTCAAAGTATGGCAGGCCGATATTACTTTTATTTGGCTTCACCACACTTACACTCCAGTTATCTGAAATTGTTTTATGATCAGATTAGACATATTGGGTATTTAGGATAAAAT